ACTAGTATAAGGAAGATTAATCATAAGAAGTAAGAAGACCATAAGAAGTAAGCAGGGGCTGGAAAGATAGCATAGGGGTCAGATTGCCTTGCACACTAAGGCCCTCCTGTTGATCATCGATTTGCTCGAGCGGGCCCAGTAACGTCTCCATTGGAGACTTTGTTGTTACTGTGTCTGGCATATCGAATACGTCACGGGGAGCTTGCCAGGCTCTGCCGTGCAGGTGAGATACTCTCGGTAGCTTGCCGGGCTCTCCGAGAGGGGCGGAGGAATCGAACTCGGGTCGGCCATGTTGGCTGCGTGCAAGGCAAACGCCCTACCACTGTGCTATCGCTCCAGCCCTAACACTACTAACACTAATTTGATCCCCAGCACAACCAGGAATAAGCCCTGAATACAGTTGGATATGGCCCAAAAACAAACAACAACAACAACGACTAGTGAATATACATGAATGTTTTGTTTTGTTTTTGAAAGATAAATAAAGTAAGGTAGGGCCAGAAGGTAGTACAAGAGTTAAGGTGTTACCTTGCATGCAGCTGACCCAAGTTCATTCCCCAACACAGAACCAAAGTAAGGAGTAGCCACTGAGCCACTGTGTATGGCCTAATATCCCCACCCCCCACAAGAAAAGAAATGAAGTAAAAAGAAATGAATTAACACAGATGTTAAAAAATAATAACAAGGGGTGGCCAAAAAGAGAACACAGGAGTAAGTAAGCCTCTGCTTTGCATGTGGCCAACCCTGGTTCAATTCCCAGCACAGAGCCAGGAGAAACCCCTTAGCTCCTGAGCACTGTCAGGTATGGCTCAATGCTCAAAAAGTATACATAAAAATTTAATAAAGTCACTAGTTTTTCAATAAGAATAAATTAAGGAAAGTTTATTGACTGAGATCATCAATGAGGAAAAAAAGTCGGAAGAAAATTACTTCAGGTTTTTTGTATCATCTGCTCCATTGTTAAAATACAGATTCAAGATTAATAAAGACCCATTAAATCAGAATCTCTGAGGGTGGGGCCAATATTTGTTCTCTATAGGCGTACTAGCTCACTAGAGAGAACCACTAGCCTAACAATCAAAGCAGACAGATTCTGGGCTAGGTATTTTTCAGTTCTCTTTCTAGTTACTTCTGAGGCTGTCAGTAGAGCTACCTCATTGCTAAGAGAAAAATGCAGCAGCTAAAACTAATCCTACACTTATGAACAATGAAATGTCTGACTGTGGCTATAACTGCAAGACAAGACTTCAGTGGAAGATAATTCATAGGGAGATCATTGTGAACAGAGATATCATATGAAGAGGGCTTTGTAGAGGAACTGGGACATAGGCCAGACCTTAAAGAATAGGTGTACCATAGCTAAAGATAGACAGTTGGACCAATGAGCTAGGAAAAGGGGGAAAATAATTGTGGACCATAGTTTTGAGCAGGAGTGTGGGTACTATATTTATATAGTAAAAGAGATCAGATGACTTCTCCAGTCTCCCTCCAAGATACTGCTGTGTATGGGGCTGGTGATCCCAATTAAGAACAAAGACTAGCACAGCACATACTGCCTTTACTTTTCCCATCTTTGCCATTCAGGGATGACCCTCCGCAAGCCCAGAATGACTGTTTTTTTTTTTTTGACACTGCTTGTCTGTGAATACACTTTAAATTCATTCAGACTTAGATACAAAAAACACATTATTTAGAAACTATTATTTAGTGATATTTTAGAAAATTAAGAAACCATTATTTAGTGATATCCCTTGTAGAAACATTATTATATTCAGTCCAGTCCCTTCCAGTGGAGAGCTAAGAAATTGTTTCCCCTTTATAGATAAGGAAAATCCAGGAAATCTAAGAGACCAACTCAAGATCACAGAGCTTCTGAGGAATAATTTGATGAAGGAACTTGAACCGAGTTTTCTTTTTTTCTTTCTGTCACCAGTTTCTGCATCTTGATGCACTATTTGCATTTCAACAGCCATAAGAGTCCTGTGCTAAAGGAATGTGGTTCTGAGGACTTCGGACATCAACCTAAAGATAGGAGATTGAGTCTTTCAGTAAAACACTAAATTGCACACATAAATTACTGCCTTTGCCTTCACATTACCTGCCAATTGTGTAATCACAGGCAAGTTGGAGACAATTGTCTGAGCTCTACTTTATCTGGTCATACAATGGAAATAACTATCTCTGCTTCCTAAGACTTTTCTGAGAATTTCTTGAAATACCACCTGGGCAATGTTCTTGCCACATAATAGGACTCAGTAACCCTCATTTTCTCTCCCACATCTCTCCCTCATCTGACCTACAACAGGCAAGCATGCTAAGTTAGAACTGTATCCTCTCCCTATCACTGCCAATATCCATCTCATTGCCTCCACTTTTGCTTTCCTCTTTGGTAACTCTGACTCCTCAGTCCCTGTGTGACCCACCGAAAGACCCTTTCTTCAATTCTCCAGTCGGCTGAGAATTTTCTTTCCTTTTTCCTTTTAAGCAAGCTGGTTGCTGTGCCTAAAAGCCACAGTACTCACCTGATGACCACTTTGCTCTTTATCCTTGAGATGTCACTCCAAGTATCACTTCTTCAGGAGGATTGAAGTAGGTTCTGCCTGCTGTTCTTTCTTAGTGTGCCTTGTAATATTCCTTTGTGATTATAACCTGTTGGTATATATTAATCCTAAATTTTATGGTTCAATATCTGTCTCCTCCACCAGACTGTAGACTCCCGTGTTGACCACTACTGTCATAATACTCCGTGCATAATCTAGTATCTAAAAATTACGTTGCAACATATGAATTAACTGTGAGTTGAATGTCTGCTGCTCTTATTTATTTCCCTTTTGTGGTGCCCTCCAATAACATCTTCATGAAATCGTGTGCCAGCTTCCTATGGAACCCAAATTCCAATCATTATCTTCTGTCACCAACATTTATTCATATTTTATTATGAAGTAGGTTACATTATTTGTTTTTCTCAATTTCACATGCTCGCATTCATCTTATGAGAGCTAAGACTCAATTCAGATCATTTTAAAATCATGTTTAAACATAGTATAATATCTTAAGTGCTCAATTGCCACTCAGTATTTTCTTGGTAAATGAATAAATAGATAATTAATCTAATTGATCAATCACTCATCTATGTCCCTTATGTATGGGGAAAATCCTCACATAGCAAATATGGAAATACTGTTGTGACAAAAACCGTTTCTAACCTTGACATGCTACAAGTACTCCCTCTTCCTGGGTTGCTATTTTGAGTTTCAATAAGAAGCAAACAATCTTATCTTGAAAAGGGATTGGATTTATTTTTAATAAGAAAGTCTGAAATGGAAGCTTGCATTTCCACCCCCAGATTTAATAACAACATTACCAAAGCTTTACAATCTGCAGTTGGCTATACCTCAAGTAGGAGAATAAAAATCTTCAAGTAAGCTTTCTTTGTGATGTAAGAGTAAGACCCATGTCACCAGATTTGTTTAAATTCATAGAGCCAAGAGTGGTCACTTAGCAGGGGTCCCCAGTCTAAGCATGTTTTCAGAATCAGTCAGTTCAATTCAGAACAAGATGAAGCTGAAAAGAAACTTCAGGTTACTCCAAGTCAAGTGACCTCAAACATTTGAGTTCTGGATAGCACTAATAACCTCAAAGAATAAATAGCTTTGGACTGATACTTAAATTTTTCTTGAAAATCTTTGACTTTGTAAAGAAATACATATGAAAACCCTTTTTTTTTTTTGCTTTTGGGGTCACACCCAGTGGTTCTGAGGGGTTACTTCTAGCTCTGTACTCAGGAATCACTCCTTGCGGTGCTCAGAGGACCATATGGGATACCAGCTATTGAACCTGGGTCAGCCACATTCAAGGCAAATGCCTAGCCCTCTGTACTATCATTTAGGCCCTGAAGATACATATTTAATGTGTGAAAGGAACAAAAGTAAAAAAATTAAAACTTTTAATGTTGCCCCTCTTTCAATAATCACTTAATCACTTATCACTTAATCCCCGTTATTCATCGATTTATTCGAGCGGGTGCCAGTAACTTTCAATAATAAATGGAATAATACAGAATAAATCTAAGTATAATTCATCATTAGCACACTTCAAATGATAAATTACTGAACCAGGACATTGATTTCAATATCCCACCATTATTTTGAAGCAAAATCTTCAGTTTACTGATTCTCCTGCTGATATCCTTCAGGTGTCTCGGTTATTCACTCAATCTTTTGCATGATTAACAGCAACAAGAACATATATGTACACGTGTCATAAAGAAATATGTACATAGGCATTTTTAACTTACTTTGACAATTAACTAGCTGTATCACTATATCACTGTCATCCTGTTGGTCATCAATTGCCTTGAGCAGGCCCCAGTAACATCTCCTTTGTCCTTGCCCTGAGATTTTAAAAAGTGCCACATTCAAGGCTCCTTCAGGGTCAGGAGAATGAGACCCATCATTGTGACTAGTTGTTGGCATATTGAATATGCCACGGGGAGTTTGCCAGACTCTGCTGTGTGGGCAGGATACTTTTGGTAGCCTTCCAGTTTCTCCAGAGTACTCTGGAGACTAGCTGACTCTCTCTAATTAATTATTTCCTCTAGTTTAGTTTGGGAGGGGCGGTTAGTTGGACCACATTTAGCTGATTTCAGGACACTGAACTCAGGGATCACTCCTGGTAGGCTCAGGGGACCTTAGAGGGTTCCAGAAAATCCAGGTTAGCCTCATGCAAGACAAGCACCCTACCCATTGTACTCTCATTCTGGCCCCTCTACTCCCTACTTTAGTGTTTTATCTTATAACAATGGGATATTGGCGGGGAATAATTGTTTTAAATACTTAAAAAACTTGTTACACTATGAATATTTTCAAGGTTGTAATAGGGTCTTCTTCATCATGGGTAGTCACTTTATAAGCAGATTTGCAATGCTGTTTAGCTTTGTAACAATCAGCAGAGCCTATGAGAGATAACTGCTACTGATTTCTCTTCTGTCCCCATCTCAGACTGCAGAAGTCCTGAAGGTTGATGGAGGGCCATGCTATTCAAACAGCAGGCGTGGCTGAGACAGAAGCTCCTCGTCCTGGGAAGTCTTGCCGTTGGGAGTCTCCTATATCTAGTTGCCAGAGTTGGGAGCTTGGATAGGTAAGTGATTAAACACACACTCTGCTTATATGGATTCAAAGTGTCTCTGAATTCAATTGCCTTGGAACATAAGTTTAAATCTCTCGATTTATTTTCCTGCCTCAAAATTCCTAAGAACCATGTTTTTCTATAGTATTGATTTTGATTTATTGAGACTTAAAAAAAAAAAAGAGATCCAAGTTGCTCAAACCAGGGTGTTCTTTAAGATCAATTTGTATTCTGTGTACATCACAGAGAGAGGACTTGGCCTCCTCCACCCAGATCGCCCACGTAGGCGTTACACCCATCAACTGCCCCCGACACCTTGTAATCCTATCAATGGCCAAGACCCAGAAACTATAAAACCCAGCTCCCGGAAGCTGGTATAAGATTTTTATTATTTAGTTCTAGTTAATCTTATTATCTAGTTCTTACTCTAGAGAACCTGGAAGGCTACCGAAAGTATTCCGGCCCGCATGGCAGAGTCTGGCAAATTCCCCGTAGCGTATTCAATATGCCAAAAGCCAGTAAGAATGTTGGGTCTCATTCTCCTGACCCTGAAAAAGCCTCGATGTGGCACTTTCAAAATCTCAGGGCTAGGACAAAGGAGATGTTACTGGTGCCTGCTTGAGGAAATCGATGAACAACAGGATGACAGTGATAGTGACAGTACATCAACATTTATTTTCAGAGAAGGAATAAAGCCATGCGTGGTTTTAAAATGTCATTTATTAGAGCTTAGTGTAATCGCTGTAATCTCTGTTATTGCTCTCTAGTCATAGTGAAATAGTAATTATATATTCTTATATCTTTGTTTTGAAATGTATGAGTAGACTATTAACATGCCACTGGGAGAATTAAAATTATATGTGATTCTGGAAAGGAACTCACAAAGTTTGGAACCCACTGCCCAGGAAAGGTGGATACAGTCTGAGGGGGATTTTAACTATTTTAATTAGCTCTGATTTCCAGGAGCTAAATTTACAAAGAGACTTTGCTCAGAATAATTGCCCAGAAAGCAATGGAAAATCCATGAAGAGTAACTTTACAGAGCTCAGATTGGTTCTAAATAGACAGTTTAATGTACTAGACACAGATGTTCCAGCAGTATTAGTTGACTTTATATTGAGTATATTTCAACTGTTCCACTCTGGTATGATTTGAAAGGCTGGAGAACTTAGTTTCTGAATTGTGTTAGTTTCTCATTTTGCCCTTTAAATTATTTTTTCACTGGAAAGCCTTAAGTGTGCTCTTTATAGATTCAATTCCTGTTTTCTGTGAAATACAGATAGGCTTTAAAATAAAAATATCTTCTGGAAGATTTTTCTTTTATAATCTATACATCCTGTCACTCAGGCATTTGGCACATAATAAAGTGATTCTTCTTTTCCTTCAACCCAGTGTCAGTTTTGACTGGTAAAGTTAACCTCTTAACTGCTTTCCAATTTAAATTTCTGGGTAAACTTCCCACTCAATATGGGAAATGGTGTTGTCCAGAGTTTATCACTAATTTCCCCAAATTACTAGTTTAGTAATTATGAAATAAAAACTTGAGGTGGAATGATTTCCTATAGCAATAATGGAAAATTTCTGTCAAGTTATTGATAGGTCTTAGTATAACTTAATTAGTTGCTATTTGTGGTCAGGAATGTGACTCATTGTTGAGCTTTGCCTTGTATATGTGTGAGGTTCTGGATTTGATCCTAGTAAAAAACAAAAAAATAATAATAAAAATCACTTATTTTTATTGAGTAATAGAGTCAATGATCACTAATGCATCAATTATAGGATTTCCCCCTTCCCCGTTTTAAATCTAATCTCAGATAGGATAGCTTGTAAAAGGAATTTAATTGCTCTGTGAGCCTTCTTATAATCTCCCGTGTGAGGATTTCAGTAGACTGTGTGATATGGACACACATTTACTCAGACTGCTTCTCTAGGAGCTGAAGACACTGCTCTCTGGGTGGAAGGTTGAACAAGCACTTTTATTATCCCTTTTAAGATTTGGTTTTTCTTCTGGAGCCCATGCTCAGAATCTGCTCTGTAGGAAGTAGGAAATAATGTGATGTTTTCTTCTATTTGAGTTAGGAAGTCCCAGAAAAGCAATTGTTCTGCAGGGAATGAGCTCCCAGGATAGAAGGTAGAAAGGGGAATGAAAAAAAAGAAAAATAACCCCTTTGAGAGGTAGGAATATCTCACAAATTGCATTCCAGCTCCAAAAGGGAAGAGACAGTCAATTTGGTCTCACTCAGCGTTCTCCAAGAGAATTAAGTCCTACAGAAAAAGATTTCCTCAATTCTCCCAAGGATAGTACTAGCATCATTCTAGATGCACAGAAGTCTATTCGTTATATCAAAGGATGCCTTCAGGAATTGGAAGTCGGTTCACAATCAAACCTAAAAAAGAACCAGAAAATCAATGTGTTACATCCCAGTCACTGTCACAATTAAAGAACATCTTTGACTATGTATGTGTTGTGACTTTTTTGTTTTCCATTTAGATCTCTAAGATGTTAATCTTGTTATAAAGTTTGTAGAAACATGGTTTGTTTCTCTAAAATATTGACTGTGTTAAACCCCCTTACTTTCATAGTATTCCATATTTTTTTGTTTTCCACAGTGAGTATGATTGATTTTAAGATCATGAGAAGCAAACATGTCAAAAAGTAAAATACATCTGTAGTTTTCTTTAAGCTTTGTGATAGCTATTCAAAGACAAATCGAGTTCGTTTCCCTCTGTTTTAATCGAAGCTGTGTCATGACCTGGACATTGGACTCTTCTCACTTTAATTTTAAACATTACACAAGATAACAAATGGTAGAATGAAAGGAAAGCAAGCAGCAATTTCATCACCGCAGAGAAGCAAAACACAGACTACAAATTAGGATAGTCTATAAATTACTTATTAGGATAACAAGAAGCATCAGTCAGAAGAATTGGTTTAGCCGCACAATATTGACTAATAGTGTAACCCTTTAACAAGGAGGCTGGATCAGAGAGATAGTTCAACAGATTGAGTGCATGCTTTGCATGCTGCAGGCCCAAGTTTGATTCTCAAGCACTAAGCCAGCACCAACCAGCACTACCAGATGTGGCTAGAAACCATCAGACAGAAAACCAAAAGAGTAAAATGCCTTCTCAGACAAACTTAGGGAAATCATAATAAACTTTGGTTGACTTCCAGACTATACTCAAAAGAATATTTAGCTTATTGGTCCTATTTATCTGGCCAGTTAACTACTAAGTCTTGTTTATGATCGTTGCAATGTGACCACACCTTTCTCTCTGAGAGAAGCAGATGTGGCAGGTCTTTATGCAGCAGAGTGGTGAAGCAAAATGCCTCCTCTGTGTCTTCATCCACCGTGTTCCTTATTTTACAGGCTTGGATTTAAATGGGCTGGCAATAAGGACTCGTGGTTTGTAGCCCAGCCAAGGTCTTCCTGATTTCTGATTTCAGGTGTGATAGATCACTTGCTGATGGCAATTGGATTTGTTCCTACATTCAGTAAAGTGAAAACATCACCCCGCTCTCTTTGAAGAGAAAGCAAAAAAGAAGCAGGAGAAATATAGTCCTCTTCTAGCTGTATTAAGGCCAAGGGCAGACATTTTCACGGAATAAAAATCTCAGCACGTGCTGAGACTGAAATTTTGCAGGTTGATGGTGCAGAGTCAAGGGCAGGGATGAGGACCTCTTTTTAGATTATATCTCAAAAACTGTTAAGAGCCCAGTGAGCACTGCTGACCAGCAAGAAAAGAATACCACATGTGACCCAAAAGACGGAGCCTCCCAGCTGCCCTTCAGCCACTAGCTGAAGATGATAATCTTCCACCTTTCACATTTTCCAAATGATGTTAACTAGTGAGCTGTTAAAAGGCTATTAGTATGGCTGATGTCACTTTTCTGTCCTGTGCTATGAACATAAGTACATGCTGTAGTCAATTAAGTACTTGGTGAATAAAAAATTTTAAAGAGCACTAATAAAAAAAAAAATCCCATCAATTATATGTGCCCCATTTAATTTGGGGTTATGTAAAATAAAATTTCCTAAACATATGTTCACTATGGGATTGCCACATTCTGGGAGCCAGTGGTTTTATTTGTGTATCTAAAGTGTTACTCTGACTGGAGAACCAGAAAAACAAAAACTTGTTTGCAATGAGTTTCTTAACGTGTCTGTTGCTTGCAGGCTACAGCCCATTTGCCCCATCGAAGGCCGACTCGGAGCCCGCAGTCAAGCTGAGTTCCCTCTTCGAGCCCTGCAGTTCAAGCGGGGCCTCCTGCATGAGTTCCGGAAGGGCAACACTTCCAAGGAGCAGGTTCGCCTGCATGACCTGGTCCAGCAGCTCCCGAAGGCTATAATCATTGGGGTGAGGAAAGGAGGCACCAGGGCCCTGCTTGAGATGCTGAACCTCCATCCGGCAGTAGTCAAAGCCTCCCAAGAAATCCACTTTTTTGACAATGATGAGAATTACGCCAAGGGCATTGATTGGTACAGGAAAAAGATGCCTTTTTCCTACCCTCAGCAAATCACAATTGAAAAGAGCCCCGCATATTTTATCACAGAGGAGGTTCCAGAAAGGATTTACAAAATGAACTCATCCATCAAGTTGTTGATCATTGTCAGGGAGCCAACTACAAGAGCTATTTCTGATTATACTCAGGTGCTAGAGGGGAAGGAAAGGAAGAACAAAACTTATTACAAGTTTGAAAAGCTGGCAATAGACCCTAATACCTGCGAAGTGAATACAAAATACAAGGCAGTCAGAACCAGCATCTATACCAAACATCTGGAAAGGTGGTTAAAATACTTTCCAATTGAACAGTTTCACATTGTTGATGGAGACCGCCTCATCACAGAACCTCTGCCAGAACTTCAGCTCGTGGAGAAGTTCCTAAATCTTCCCCCAAGGATAAGTCAATACAATTTGTATTTCAATGCTACCAGAGGGTTTTACTGCTTACGGTTTAACATTATCTTTAATAAGTGCCTGGCAGGCAGCAAGGGGCGTATTCATCCAGAGGTGGACCCCTCTGTCATAACCAAATTACGCAAATTCTTTCACCCTTTTAATCAAAAATTCTACCAGATCACTGGGAGGACATTGAACTGGCCCTAAGATGATAAAGAATACAACACTATGTGTTGTGCCTGGAGACATACAAAGTCTCCTCTAGATTAAAATATGCACTTTTCCTAGACAACTATCCAAGTCATTTTTCCATGTATACTTGTACATAAGCAGTGTGTGACCAAATATAAAATCAGTTCTTTTTTTCTACAGAAAATTTGCAAAATAAAACTTGCTGTCTGCATAATTGCATCTTCTTCTAGGCTATTGACAAAAACAAGGGGTGGTGGTATTGGGGGGGATGTGACTTCAGCTATTCTCAAAGAGTTAGTCTTCCTTTGAGTCAGAGTTTCTCTCGTCTACTCTTTTCATAAACCTAAGCCAAAAGATTAATGTGTGAAAATGTACCAATAGCTGTGAAGCTTCAGGAAGTAGAGGAATCAGTCATGCATCCCTTTCGTAGGGAAATCTGGCTCTTTAATTCAGATGCTGAATTGGTGCCATGAAAACAGAAAATACTATTTTCTTATCATTTAAAAGAATGTCTTTTCTCATAAAAATTGACATTGTTCCAAAGTTTCTGTGGTGATTTTGCACTATTGTTTTCTCGTACCAACAACCATGGCGTCACTTGTAGCATGTCAATCACACATTGGAAAGTCTAGTCCTTTCACTTCCATGTTCTATGTCAACAATAAGAAATGTCATGTACATAATGTATATTGTTGTAAATACTGGTTTCACACTAAGTAATTCTATTTTGTAAACTGAATATGGCTATTTAATTTATTGTGGAAATTAAATTTATTGTGGTATTTAAAAATGGAATGGATTAAAATTACTCTATGTGCAACATCTTTTTCTTACTCATTTTGTTTTATGTGCCCCCTGCTAGCTTTCAAAATCGAAGCTGCTTATGTGCAGACTTGAGTAGTTGGAAACACACTACTCTGCTGGATTTCTGTATCCTTGTGAAAATGTATTTATGAAGTGAGGTCGAGTATATTCAAAAATATTTTAACCATCTGGAAATCTGATATAACAGCCACCTCAGAGAACATTAGTGCTACTCTGGTACAACATTGTAACAATTTATTTACTTGCAGTAGCTGCTGTGACTAGAGACAAGAAATCATATAATCTAGATCTAGAAGAATCACAGTTTTATTTGAACCTCTAATCACAGTCAGACCAACCAATAGAGAAACTAAAACAAAATTTAAAAACTTATTTGACCTCTGTACTGAACACTGCTGATGCCTCGGAACTACCTTTGAGGTGAAAATCCATCAGCCTGCTCAGAACTGATCAAATTGCCTAGCGTTGCTCTTTCTGACATGAACATATGATTCTTATTTCCCTCCAGAAAAATTAATACTACACTGAGTGTTTGCTAACATCAGACACACGATTATACTTAAGTATGATTCAAATGAGGTATCAGCAACAGCAAGAGCTGGGTTTTCCACAATCACTGTTGCTTATCCAATGGAAGATGTTTTGTTCAGTTTCACATAGAGTGTACTTAGAGAAATCAGCAAATCACAATGGGTCCCCTTTTGATTGTAATAGGTGTTGATTTTCTCCATGAGTTGTTTAGCCTGTCCACTGATTTGATGGTGATCTTTTCTAAATAAATAGCCCTTTTCCCTCTGGTCTTGGTATATATTGCTTTTCAAGCCATAGCCTTGGTAATCATGGCTATTGTTTCAATTAACAATAATGCTGTTCTCTCAGCAAGAAACGGGCATGACACCAGCACACACTGACAGGGCGGTTTCTCAGTCACTATGAGATGAAAATGGAGTAAGTCTGGGTCTACATGTCAGTCACTTCCTCCTTGAGCCCTTAATAAAATCAAACATAAATAATCTGATCTGAGTGCCTCCACTATCAACTAACCATCAGAATAAACTCTATGCAATATTCCTAGAGCACTTTATAGCTAATATGTTTTTCATACCAGTGACTATCAAATTCTGTCCCATTGGAACACTAATATTTCAAAAATCAGCAGAGGTATTCCATTAGTACAATTGAAAGATGTCAATCTTAACCTAGATTCACTAATTAAAAACAAATGGTAGTAAACAAATGGCAGAACAGACTGTTCTTCTGTGATCGTTTGTTATATTACATTTTTCTTAAACTTTGCTACTGCTACCAATAATGTAAATTAGAATCATTGTAGTATTCTTATTTGGTATGCTGGCAATTTTTCATGGTATTTTTAGCTCGTTAAGTCAGCATTTCTTCATCATATTAAAAAGATTGCTGTGCTTTCCAGTTGTTCCAATTCCTAAATAAGTTTAAGAAAGACTTTCAACCCTAGAGACTTCCCCACAGAGATTTTAAGCAGGAGGCCTGGTCTTGGAAGATGTCTTGAGGAGGCAAGTTTCATTTTGCTGGGAAACAAACAGCCACAGCCCCTGCTGATTGAGCTAGATAGGGAGAAATAAAAATTCTATGATTTAATAGCATACTTCCACTGGAGGTTTTAGAGCTCCTTGTTTAGGAAAATGTTTCCTGTTGTCATCAAACAGGCAACGAACCTCTAGAGAAATCTTCAGCTTGTTACAATAGCTCCACTAAGGCTCTCCTTAATAAGCTACTCCTTTACATCATGAAAACTTTTCATTCCTTCCGGAGGTTTGGTGGCACCATACAGCTTTGTAAAACAAGTCTGACTGCAAAGAAGGGGAGTAAAAACCCTAAGCAATGGTGAAATTTCTGCTGAACTGAAAAGCTGACAATACACCATTTGGGAAGTCAAGGAATTCCAATTATAATTATATGAACAGGAACTGGAGCCCCAAGGGAGTGAGAGAGGTTAGAGAACAGAAAGAGAAAGGACACACTTCTATGGACAGACATTCAGATTTCAAGTTTATTACCCACTCACCCAAAATGACCTCATTTAAACCCTCAATGAATTAAGGTACAGGTTTTTATATCAGTTGCACTGTAGGACTGGAAAACTAATGAATGATAGAGCAAAGTTAAGTAACGTCCCCCTCCCCATCATTACATCTGATCTCAGAGTTGGTGATTTTTACAATGAATGGGCCAGCAAAAATAGTCTTTAGTTGCTGGTTCAGTCCCTGGTAGGACTGAGTGAACCTTCTAGAAATCCTGACCAGAATGTTACGCTGATGTCAGGAGGATCAGTTCCAGGACCTGGGGACAACAGAGGTGAGGGGGCATAGGGGTGGAGAATGGGGGAAAGCAAGAAGGGAGCTAGAACAAAAATAACCCAAGTTCCAACCCTGCCTATAAGCTTTTGCTTTGCCCAATTAACAGTTTGCTAAATTGGATGCCTTTATAAGCCTAATTTGAGAATTTTTCAGAGATGGAGAATTTCAAATGATCATAAATAGTATCTCCCTGCTGAAGTCTTTTGTAGTCATTCTGCATACTCAGCAGCCATTTTCCACTTAAGAGAACAGTCTACAGTCTAAGCAAAAAAAAAAAAAAAACTTTGCTGAAAACATTCTTCCTGAAAATGACTAAATACAGCAAAATCATGGCAATTCAAGCAGTCTAACAAGATGAAAGTATAGAATATTTTTAAGCACATTAATTGCAATTATTCCCAAGAAGACAAAGTGCCAAACTGTACTAAATATATTGAAGAATAAATGTCAAAGTGCACCTGCTTTACTAAATAAAATCCTCTTAATTGGCATATATTTTTCCAAATTGGTTTTACTCAACTATTTCTCAACAAGATGTTCTCTAAAGTAGGTTACTTGTGCCCCCTAGCATCCTCTTATCAATTTTTATGAAAAAGAAAACACCTTTCCTTATAGCTGGTGCAAATATGAAATTTAGGTCAAAATATAATCATCTGGTAAGGTTTTAATAAACATGCTTTACAATACAAAAACAATTTTTTTTACATTTTACAGACTTAAAGATTTCTTTCCAATTACATTTTATTGTACCTTCTAGGTATAAGAGTGCATTTTATAATATTTGAATGGATTGAAGAGTTGAAAAGACTGAATTGAACTGATAGCAATATGCATTTTCCATAGAAAGTATCTGATTTGTATTCCAGGAACAAGTGTCTGTTATTTAAATGCAGCCCTGTTGAAAAGCAATACCCTTTCAGTCATACCAAGTAGACAGCGGCATTCCTAATATCTTACCAGGCTAGTTTCATCATTTCTAAATTTATTAACCATATCAGTCTATCAGGTCTTAGGAAACTATTAATTAAAGGATTTGTTTCTAAAGAAGTAGCTTGCCCCCCTTTACAAATAATACCCTTTGACCAAGAAGGTAAATTGTTCTAGATAGATTAGTAACATCACATTCGTTTTGTTTTGTTTTGTTTGTTTTCAGGCCAGTGATGCCCAGGGCTTACTCCTGGCTCTGCACTCAGGAATTACTCCTGGCGGTGCTCAGGGAACCATGTGGGATGCCAGAGAATGAACCAGGGTTGACTTCATGCAAGGCAAATGCCCTAACCGCTGTACTATTTCTCTGGTCCCTAATAACACCGTTTTAAAGAGCTGATTCATTCCAATATTTTTAATTGTACACAACTATGCATTTTCTTTTATTTAATGACATCCAAGAAGAATCTTTTAGATAAACTGGAAAATTGCCTGGTTCTTTAGAAAGGAAAGCTATAATAAAACTCACCAGATTGTTAAATGTAGGTAAAGGGATATGCCTGATAACCTTCATTATCTATATTGCAAACCATAAGTCCCCAAAGGAAAGAAAGCTAAAGAGAGAGGTGAGGGGGAGAGAGAAACAGAGAGAAACAGAGAATGAGAGAGAGAGAGAGAGAGAGAGAGAGAGAGAGAGAGAGAGAAGGAAAGTGCCTGCCATAGAGGCAGGCAGGGGTGGGGTGGGCTGGAGGAAAACTGAGACCATTAGTGGTGGGAAATGTACACTGGTGAAGGGAGGGGTTTTGAAAAATTATATGACTTAAACTCAGTTATGGAAAGAAAAAGAGAGAATTCTGCATTTTGTAAAAAAAAAAAAAATTAAAGTAAAATAAAACTCACCAGAAAGTCTGGAGCAAGAATAAGGAAAGAACTTGTAATTACTACATCTCAGATCCATCTAAAACAAGGTCCCAGAAACAAGTGTAATACAATGACAATATTAACTACACGAAATGGGCCTATAGGGGTAGGTCAAAGTTCAGAATTGAAAAGAGGGCACAACTTGAGGGGTCAGAGTACCATCAATGATGTGATCCTGGAACTCAGTAAAAGATCATTGCATCTCATCAGGTAGAAAAGCCAGAACAGCATACTCCAGAATAAGAAAAGTAACAGAGCAAAAGCATGAAGAAGAGTAGAAGAGACTAGCAAATCTAAAGAATAGATTATATATAAGAGGAGTTAGAAGATGAAAACAAAAATCCTACAAGTGCTTTAGACCTGGAGCAAATCTGACCTGATTAGCATATCCCAGCAGCCTGCATAGGGAACACGGGGAGGTCAGGCCTGCGTTTGCTTCGAAGAATGGAAAAGAGATGATGAAATTAATGCTCTCTGTATTTTCTTGCAAACAATTGGTGCTTTAAATCACGTAGTTTTGTTTCCTACCCTGTTTACGCTTCTTTTTTTCCCCCCTGTGCCAGTAGGTTTGTTGCCACTGACAGGATCCTCCAAATCTGGCTCATTTTCCCTGTGACTGAAACAAAGGTATCTTTGCGATCCAGCTCTCCCAATATTCTGAGCACAGCAGAATTATATTTTTTCCCTGCCTCTTAGTGTCTCACAACAGTTTTCCCTACCTTGAGACTTTATCAGGAGGTATATGAATAACAAGAAAACAACACAATACTCCCCTGCATGCTAACTAGAATAACTGTTCAAAAGTGATTAGGGAAATACATTTGCTTGATTAAAAACAAAAGAAATAAAAGGTAATTTTTATAGATATAATGCAAAAGTCATTTTGTTTCTGGGTTTTGGGGGCTTGATTTTTCGTTGTTGTCAGGTTTGGTTTTGATTTGTTTTTGTTGTTGTTGTTGTTGTTGTTGTTTGAAGGAGGGGGAAGGAGACCACACCTGATTATGCTCATGGGAATCTTGTGGTGCCGGGGATCAAACCCGGGCCTCTAGCACACAAAGCACTATTCTAGCCTGTTGAACTGTTACTTCCCAGCTCCCAGTCTGTCTCTGTAGACTTTAGCTTCCACCCCCAAAACATCCCATTTAGTGTGGGATTTTGTTGATCAGCCGCGTAGCTCTTCTGAGGTTGACTTTACTCCTCCACTTCTTGGATGCACCTGTGGCCTTCACTTCTTGGATGCACCTGTGGTTTCTGGTAGGTCAGCTGGATTATTCAGGATGACAACTCTGAGATGACAGCTAGCTTGTGCTGCTGACTGATTTGTGCTACTTGCAATGCTGGTTGTTGGCTAAGTCAAAAGGTACCTAGACCACACATGTGTCTCATCACTTAGAAGACTCATCGCCTGGGGTCCTTCACAATGTGGATTTGCAAAAGAGTGCAAATCTCACATATGACACCAGCTTGTGTCATATATGTTACTTCTCACTTGCCAAAATACGGCGCATGGCCAAGCCCAGCATCAACATCCAAGGGGAATATATCAGAGTATGGATACAAGAAAGAAAATTTCTGTAAGCATTTTGGAAATTACCACTTCTCTCAACCTTGAT